AAACTTTAGGTTATTGAGTCACCGGGTCAACAAGGGCCCATGGAAAATGATAATACGACGAAGAATAGAGTATCATTTTTCATTCCTTTATCACTTGTCACTTCATATATTACTAATCACCAGTCAATTTCGGTGGATTTTTTAATGGCTTATATTGGTTCATTAGTCGAGTCAACCGGTCAACATGGGTCCATGGAAAATAATAATGCGGAGAAAAGTAGAGCCATCATTATTCAACGATAGAACATGAAGCTGATTGTTGGAATTATAAAAGTACGTGGTCCAAAGTCTTTTGTCACTTGTCACTTTCATGATTTATTACCTTATGTATTACGTCAGTTAGTGTGGAAACTAAATAATTAATTTAAAAAATGAGTTAAATTATGTATTTATAATAAATATGTGTTGATTTTTTAAATTGACCTATTTAATCGTATGCATTAGAATTATCTCTTGGCAGAAACTTCTTACAATCAATAGAGATATTTTGAACAAAAATAATATAAATTTGAAAATAAAGTATATTAAAATCTTATCTTTATGATCAAATCAAACTTCCAACTAGTTTTATATTTAGGATCGGAAATAGTATTGACTTTCTCTTCAAAACTTTACTTTTACTTTTTATTTTTTTTGATATTGATATCTATCATCCTGCTAGAAGTAATTTTGTTTAAAACATTATTAGACATTTAATATAAACACTTCTTTTAGAGATGATTTGAATTTTAATTTATCATGTTATAAGGAATTAGATACTTTTATCAAAACCAACCCCTGTTGGTAAAACATTATTATTATTATCATCATCACTATTATTATTAACCAAATTAGGTAGATTTTGAATTTCATATATTGTATGATCGAATGTCTGAGAAATAATATTTATCATTGATATAATATTCTTATATAATTAATTATAAATGTTATTCAACATTGATAGTTATATTTATATCGATCCATTCTATTGATGATATTTTGTTTGTTGACTTAAATTGAAATGAAAATAAAAAAGACCGTGGTTATGTAAAAATCGAGACCCAATTGCTGGTGAGTTGAAGACTGACATTCTACGCGGCATATTGCTGTATTGTGGACCCCATGTGACATTGGCCCTTGAACCACATTTTAGACTGTGAGAGTTCCCATATAACACCACAATTTAAGGCGACCAACCATGGGCCACAGTGGAATTTCCCTTCGACCAGGACAATGGAATAGTCCAAATACCGAGTCTTTAACCTAAAAACAAAGATGTAAAATAAACAGAAAAAAATTATTGTAGAGTCCCAAACAAAGTCCGATAAAATAACTAAATAAATATGAAGTCCCAAGAAAATTAATAGTAAGAGATTGTTATTGTGCAATTACTAACTTATCCTTATTAATTGGATACGTTGGTGGGAAATCAAATGTGCGTAGGAAATGCGTCCAAGAGAGTCGAACTCAAGTGGTCTTTTGCGTGTGCTTGGCTTTTTGGAAATATGGTTCTTTTTTCATCCATTAAAAATTACTGGTGGAAACTTACCCTGCAAGTGCGTGAAGAACAGCTGATAGAAGCTTCCATTTTTCCCACGAAATTGTTCTCCTCACTGTAAAGCTGTTTTGTTAGTTTTCAATCCGTGCCCTTACATTTGTCAATGGTATTCTGCATAAAAAATTCTGATATAAACTTGTCATTTACTCTAATCATTTTAGATATTATAATCACACATGCTTTCATTTTAAAATTGGATTGTATAATACTTTTTTATAATTTGATATAACTTGGACCTAATATTATTTCAGAAATTGAATTGTTAACTTGTATGACTTGTCAATTGGTTTACATGGACTTGTCAATCCATGCTCTTACACTTATTGATGTCATTTCGCAAAATTTTGATATGAATCTCATATATATTCATTTCTCCATCTCTTTCATTAAGGACAAAAATGTATTTTCATAATTCTAATATTTTACTCATAGGTCTTTAAGGACTTTACATTAATTTCAACATCTAAAGGGACTTTATATTAATAAAATGTGTTACTAGGGACCTCTGTGTAATTGTCTCCTTTTTCCGCCTGGAATTCATACAAGATGCTTAAAAGCCTTTGAATAGATCTGGTGATCTTACAGATTATCTAACATTCAATTATTTAGTCCCTTGAGTCGTAATTTTATTTGTAGAATTATTACATGTTAGTTAGTCGATTTATTTAAAGCTTTATACTCCTCCGGTCCTTAATATAAGACTCATTTAACTAATTTGATTAGATTAAAGAAGTTAGGTAAGTTAGTTAATTATAAGAAAAGTGACACATTTTTCCTAAAATACCATAATCATCTTTCTTAATACCCTCTCTCCCCCTTCTACTTAATTATGGTTGAGGGAGTATCCATAGGGATAATTTAGAGAAAAATGATAAATATGAGAAATGGGTCTTATATTTAGGACCAAAACCAACTCAAGAATTGGGTCCTATATTAAAGACCGGAGGAGTATATTGTTTTACGTATTATTTTCAGCTAATCATTTTTCAGAATGAATATTAAAATTTTTATTGTTGTTATTGTTTTATGTTATCACTCATGTCAACTCTGTTCTACCCTATTTGAACTATTCCTTGCACATCAGACTTGGTACATGAAAATAGTAAATTATAGTTTTCCCAAGAAAATACAAAACTTTAATATTCTAAAGAATCAAAGTTGGGACCCAAACTTTGGGACACAAGTCCTTTGAAGTTTACGGTCAATAATAATTAGGTATAATAATGGACATCCAATTGGACGCTAGTTGAAGACTACCATTCCACATCACACAATGGAAACTAATTTCGTTGATTGAATTAAATAAAGACAATGCTCCTTCCAGTAGATTATTCCATAGCATGTGCATAGAGGATTTTCCATTTGACAAAATTTGAGAAATTAATCATATTATTTTTACATACCAAATATTATTTTAAAATACAAAATTTGTTGGAAAAAATAGTTAAAATTTTCCTTTAAAAAAATGAGTTTCACATCTAGTGCTAGAAAAATTGGCCAACTCTTCACCGGCCGCAAACTTAAACGGGCTAACCTCGCTTAGGCCTGTTTTTGAATACGTGTCTATTTTACGAAACCCAACCCTTATATAAGTAGGCTTGGGCCAGTTCACAAGCTTTTAGACTATTTAATTTTTATACATATTTTGATTTACTTAAGAGCAAAACAATAAACCTCATAAAATTAGAACTTCCCAGCATTAATATTACTAAAACAAAATGTTAAATTGTTATTCAGATTTTCAAAACGAAACAAAATCAAGTCATTATCCTAAATATTACACACAGTATAAACTAAACACTAAATAATAGTAATAACATCAATATGATTTTTATTACTATTTTCAATATTAGCAATATTTACTGCTTTACTATGAGTAAGTTCTTCATTAGTGATAAAAATATCAAAGTTTTCCACCTGAAATAAAATTCATTTTCAAATTTTGTAGTCTAGTTATTATTTTATTTTAATTTGAGATACATTCAAGTTGAAACTTAAATTTCTAATTCAAGTTATAGAATTACAAGTTATATAAGTATAAGAATACTTTCTTATCAAATATATATAGTTTAAAATATTGACATATATAATATAAATCAAATCATTATTTAATTCTAAGTTAACTCATTTTTTAAAGTTTAAATCAAACAAACCATTATACAAAACCAAATAAATCAAATTATTTTATGAAATTTAATTATATATTTAAAATATTATTAACAATGTAAAAAAATCATATTAACATCATATAAATAATTTTTAAAAAAATAAAAGGGCCATAAGGCCAACCCGTATAGGCCCTCGACTCATCAGAACGGGTCCTTTTGGCTGGCTTTTAATTTGAGAGGCAAAATCATAAGTTTAGTCTTTTTAGGTTCGGTCTGTTTTTTCGATTCTCTTGTCTCTTTGAATACTAAGAAAATAGTACGCACAAACTTTGGGTCATTAGTCAAGTCAACGACACAATATGGGTCCGGGGAAATAATAATATGAGAAATATGGAGCCGTCGTGACTCGAGAGCCATCATATTTGAACGACAGATGGTGAAGAACGCATGAAGCTGCTTGTTGGAATAAAAGTGCTTGGTTCGATTGTTCTTTTATCACTTCTCACTTCATATATTACTTAAAACATTATATTACTAACTGCTAGTAAAATTAAGTCCATTTTTTTTAAATTTGAAGGGATAAGCATTAACGGCAAAAAGTTACAACTCTCAACGTGTCATTTACCAAGGACCTTTTATGCCAGTAAGATGCAACAAGATTGACAAATTTTATCAATTGTGAATGTAATGTATTGAATTATAGACAATGCTCCTTATAGTAGATTATTTTCTCTAATCCTTAATATAAATATTAAGATTTAATTGACTAATTTAAAAAAATTAAAGAAGTTAAAAAATTATTTAATTATAACATATGTTACATAGTCTCTTTAAAATATTTATATTTATCATTAGACTATATACCAATTTATAAGTAGGATAAATTAGTTTAAAAAATAATGATAAATATAACACTTTAAAGTAATTTATTTAACTTTTTAAATATTTTAAATTAGTCAACTCACCAACTGAACTTTATAGTAAGAATCAAAAGTGGTACTATTATTCTGAAGCATTTATATAGAGGATAGAGAGTATATTTTAATCAATACTAAAAATCTGAGTTTATACTGTAATTTGGAATCTTTTTTTTTTAATTTCTACATAAATACATGAACATCTAGATCACAATGCGTGAAATGTATAAGAACTAATTTAGTCTATATAACTTACTTATATATATCGAAAGGGAAAACTATCAAAATTAATTTTATAATTCTTTTATTCCTGGCGAATAGGTAGACGCAAGCTTAAAGATAAAATTACACAGAAACACAAAAACCAAAGCAAATCAAATGAAAGCCACATGAAATTGCAACGTCTTTTCGCTTTTGTTTCCTAGCAAAGTGCTGCTGTCAAATAGAATCAGGGGATGGACAAGGAGGAACAGCCACCTCAGTAACTCCCTCAAGCATCAACACCACACTCTTCATCGATGGCCGAAGAAAAGGCTCGTCTTGAATACACCATAACCCCACTTTCACCATATTCTCCAGTAAACTATTATCCACTTCTTCCCCGACAACCAGCTTGTTTAGCTCTCTCCGAGCAAAACACTTGTACACCCAATTTGATAGAACAATTTGTTCTGGATTTGACATGTTCACCACTAGGCTTCTTCTGCAAAAAACAATCTCCAAAAGCATTACTCCGTAGCTATAAACATCCGCTTTCACTGTTATTGGAGTGTTCTTATTCCATTCCGGAGCCAAATAACCTCTTGTCCCTCTAACTTGGGTGAAGGTTCTTGTTTGATCAGGCATTAGAAGTTTTGCTAACCCAAAATCTGATATTTTAGCTGTCAAGAACTCATCCATCAATATGTTTTGAGGCTTTATGTCACAGTGAATGATGGGAGCCTTGCATTGTTCATGCAGATATAGTAAGCCTCTTGCAATGTCCAATGCTATCCTTCTTCTCTGCTCCCAATCTGGACGTATGGTGCTATCACCAAAGATGAGCTTCTCAAGGGAGCCATTGCTCATGTACTCATAAACTAGAAGCCTTTTAGATCCCTCAGCACAATATCCCAGCAAGCGGACTAAGTTTTTGTGGTGTGTTTTCCCAATGGCTTGCATTTCTGCTTGAAATTCTCTCTCTCCTTCTTCAATTAATCTGTGCAGCCTTTTTACAGCAATCAGTTTTCTTCCTTTTTGTAAAGTTCCTCTGTAAACGGATCCGAAGGAGCCCTTACCCACCTCTTGTTTGAAACTATCTGTTGCTTTCTTCAACTCATTGTATGAAAATACCCTCAGAGTAATCCCATCGCTCAAGCCTAAATCTCCAATCTCCAACAACCTCTTGTAACTTAAAACTCCAGTGTTGTATATAAATCGGCTAGAGGCTGCAACAGATGAACATAAAAGAATTGCAAAACCCAAGACAATGAGAATGATCACCTTAATTGCTTTCTTACTCGTAGTCTTGATGGGAGGTGGCTGGTTGGGTTCATCTCTGCTTTTGAGACTCTGATTTCCCACCTTGATGTATAATGTGTAGGGTGAGGAAGAGGACCCTTGTGTTTCTCTGCCGACATATCTTAATGGAAACTCTTGTTTCTTGCAGCGATTATTGTCATAAAAGGCAGCCCCACAATAGCAATCTTGCAAACAAGAAGACGAGCATTCCTCCTCCCGAATCTCTTCTTCAACGTAAGGAAGATCACCCAAGCTCATATCACTCATAGGGGACATGTAATAAAAAGTTGCATTATCTTTTCTACCTTTACATTCTGCTTCTGAGAAGTTCCTCTTGCATCCAAGATTATGGTAACTTGGGTCTATAAAATCAGTTCCCGGAAGACAATTGCAGTAAGGCTGGTTGTCATTAATGGTACAGTAGCTGTTGAACCCGCAAAAAGCCTTCACTTTACAAAGGTTGTCCAAATCTCGCGGTGACCAGAAGTTTGTAACTTGATGTTTCCGATTTGCGTCGTCAAAATGAGCATAGAGTCGTAAAACTCCATCAGAATCAACAGTTGCACGATAAATAGTGTTGTTCCCTTTGGAGAAGTTGAAGCTGGTAACATCCCTCCAAAGAATTTCTGAGTTGGAACTACTGGCATTCACAATATTTAGAGGCTGAGTATCTGAGCTGTTGAGCAAAAGATAATATTTGAAACTAGTGCCATAATCAGTATTAGAGGCCCAGTAAGCATCCGAAGGTGTGTCAGCAGAATACCGTGGGTACAGAACAAGGTTTCCATCAGCCTGCATTGAGAGCTGAAACCTTCCAGAAGAATGGTTCGTGTCTGATGAACTCGATAACAATTGACCCCCCGTAGGTAGAATTTGTCCCCCTAATAGGGTGTCAGTTGGGTAATCAAAACTCTGCCAAAGGATTTCTAAACTTTTGTTTCGCAGAACAAAGTTTCCAGAATCAAGCATGGAAGCATAGAAAACAGTTCCATTGTTACTATGAGCAATAACCCTGTTTTGCCCTGGACCTGTTTGCAGAAGAAGCTCACCATTTATGGTCAGAACAAGCCTTGCATTTGAGGAAACAGGAGGATCATCGCGATTTGAAGTCCAAACAATTGTTTTATTAATCCCATCGAACAGCCAGATTCCAACTTTGAAGCCATTGTCTTGATGATAAAAGCCGAATGAAAATCGACCAGAAGGTGAAGGCCATGAACTGGGACGGCCAATGGGAGATAGGGAAGCACCGAGCTTTATGAGTTGATTTGCGTGTGCTGTTTCAAATCTTCCACAAAGAAAAGATACCAATAGAAGGAAGTAGAGGTTTGATGCAGTGGTAGCCATGGCCACTAAAATCTCACAGAATTGGAGAATCGCTGAACAAAAAGGATTGGTGAGGTGTAATGGTGGCCAGCTGGCCATAATCTCAAAGTCTTCGAAGTCTTGCCCGAAAGTTGAGAGAAGTTGCCGACCTTTCAATTACTGATGGCCAGTGCATTAATATTGCACTAGCAAGAATCACGGTATGACCTTGATTTTTCTTATCAAAGTTTTGTCCCCCCCCCCCCCCAAAAAAAAGTCTTTTTCCAAATCAATTATCTATAGTGCAACACGTGCAATTTTGCATCACAAGGTTTTAAAAATCGGTCTCCATCTTCAAAAATTAGGATATTTTCTAAATAAAATTATAATATACTACTTCCGGTTTTTAATATAAGACCTTATTTGATTTTTATTTTAGTCATAAATATAAGATTCCAGTCCACTTTGTCTCTCATATTTATATATATTTGTTTCAAAATAATCCTTCTAACAATAGTAATTTTAGCCACTATACTTAATTAATAAAGATATTTTAGGAAAAACAACACATATTTAGGACAAATAACTAACTCAACTTACTTCATTAATCTCCTTAAATTAGTCAACTAGCTCTTATAATTAGGATCGGAAGTAGTATAAATTTTCCTTGAATATCAAGTCATATGCAAATAACTCTAGTTTTTACAGAACTTGACAAGAAACCCCTTAAACTTTGTGCTCCTTCCCTCTTTTTTTTAATAAATAACAATTATCATCTCCTCTTGTCTCTAAATATAAGTAATATTTGTGAGTTGTCTTAAATTTTTATAGTAAATATTTTATTTTGCCCCTATTAATTACTTATTATAATACTCAATATATTTATTATCTCATTTCTCAAACAATCACATCTCTTCATCACGCATTCTTTCTCTTTCATTATTCTCTTTATTATAATAATTATTCTCTTTTTTATACTCTCTCTCCTATCAATAAAGAGGAAAAAAACTTCTAATTGTTACATATTTATTGTTTTTAACTAATTTTAAACACCTTTTTGATCTAGGTATTTGAGTCCAAAGTTGCTTATAAAAAGGGATGGAAGGAGTGATTTATGCTGATAATTAATCTTTTTGCTATCAACTATTTAGTTTATTTCGCTAACATAATATGCTAAACTTTATTTTTATATTATTTATTGTAATACTCAATACATTCATTATGTCATTTTCCTAACAATCATACCTCTCCATCACACATTCGCTCTTTTTCATTATTCTCTTTATTTTAATAATTTTTTATTCTCTTTCTTATACTCTTTCTCCTATAAATAAAGATATTTTAGAAAAAGAACTTCCAATTTTCACATACTTATTGTCTTTAACCAATTTTAAATAATTTTTTGATCTATGTCTAAAGTTGCTTATAAAAAAAGATGGATGGTGTAATTTATGCTGATAATTAATCTTCTTGCTATCAGTTATTTAGTTTATTTCGCTAACATAATATGCTAAGCTTTATTTTTATTCAGATAAAAGCCTCGATTTAAATTATGTGTGAATAACTCCTCTAAGTTTTAAGTTGCAAATAAATTTCCTGTTATATTATGAGTTATTTTAACTGTGAAATAACATATAAACTAACAGAAACGAAGTTACTTCATCAATGTAAAAAAAAAATTATGGACTCACTGTAAAATTTTTAAGTTTAGAGACTACACATAATCTAAAATTTGTGGGTTGTTTTAACCCTTAAAAAAATAAAAGAGAAAGTGAAAAAATTTGCCGATACCAAAAAGGTTCAAGATGTTTGGTGCAATGGTAAATTGGTATTCAATTCTCACATCCATTATTAAAAAAAAAGGCTTATTATTGACAAAATTAGCGACAAAAAATTATTCCGTTGTAAATTTCTGACGGATTACTGACAAAAATTTTGTCACTAAATTTAACAACGAATTAATAATAGAATTTTTCTATCACTAATATTAGCGATATAGTTTTTGTTTATCACTAAATTCTATTGCTAATCTATTGAATTTGCCAGTAAATATTTAGTAGCGGAATTTTTTCCATCAAAAATTTCTATCACTAATTTTAATTATAACATTTTTAGTGATAAAAAAATTTTGTTGCTAATTTTGTCACTAAATTGCTTGTCACGGAAATTTTCTTTACTAATTCGGTCGCAATTCCATCACTACTTTGTCACTAATTTTAAATTTTATTATTTTAGATTATAATCTTACAGCAATTTATGTAATAACAAAATTAAGAATATAATGATTTAACTATATTTTTAATTATAAAATAAATTGATATATTTGTGGAGTTAGTGTTAATGAAGGTATCATCATCAATCATGTCATCATTAGATACATATTGAGAATAGAAAGACAATTTCTCAAAAAACTTGTTTATATTTCATTAAAATCAATTCTTCTTGATTATTACTAATAATTAAAAAATATAATAAGAATATTACTAACTTTCTTATACAAACTAATATAGGAAAAAATAATCTTATCATATGTACAATATATTAAAAGATGTAATATATAATAGAAATTCAAAACCAACCAAAAAATGAATTTATATAAACACCTCAATTTATGATTATAAATCAAACTAATATTGTAGTAAATTTTGAATTTTAATCATTCAACAATAAAATTTAATCATGATATAAATTGATTTTGGTATTGAATACAAAAATAATTGGTATACAAAGAATTTTAAGAAAATAAATTACATAGGATACATAAACAAGTAGGTGAATGTTGTTTATCATAATCTATTCAAATCATTTAATTTTTTATATAGAATAATTTATTATATTTTATTATTCTAGCTACTTTTTGAATAGCAAGATTTTTTTACTAATTATAAATGGTTTTCATCAAATATATAAAACACATATAGATAATATAATATAATGTAATATAACATATATATAACTAAATTATATATCTTATCAATGTTAATTTAAAAAATTTAAATATATATATGAAAAAAATATTTATGATTTAAAATTCAAAATTAGTGTCATTGGAAATTAAAATTACATTAAAAAGATTTTTTAACAAATAAAAAATTATAAAATAAATAGTAAAACAAATATTTAAAAAGTATTGTGTCATTAAAATAGTTATGATCAAATTTATCATATAGTTTATTTTTATTTTTTAATAATATATATGTATATATAGTTGTTTGTGTAAAAGAATATTACACACACATATAAAAAGATAATATAATTAATTAAGGATAAAACTTGTAAAAGTGTATTTAATGATAACTCCATACTGGATCTTATAAAAAGAAATGGACCAATTCAAAAATTTAAACCTTATTAAAAAAAAAACACCAATTCTCCATGCTATTTCCTATGTATTTTCAATTTTCACAATTAATTTTTTTTTCTTGATCTTGATATGTGCATTAAAGGAAGTAATAATACAAAAACAATTATAACAATTAAGAGAGTTGAAAATTTTAGATATAAAAATGAATCTGAATAATGTTATTTATCTAATTCTTTATTGCTATAAAACAATTGAAATTAATACAAATAATTGGAAAAATATTTGTAGAAGTTTTAATTGTATTTATTGAAATCAATTAAAGTATTTTTATTTAAATTGAAATATATTGATAAAATATATATATAGTGAAAATTTCTTAAAAAAAGAAAATAAGGGGAGATTTGAAAAAAAAGAGGAAATTTCAATTGGAACTGGAAGAAAGACAAAGATGAAGAAGCATAAGTTGAGCTAGAACTTATAATTAATCATTAGTCAATAATAGTTTTATCTAAAAATATACATGATTTATTTGCATTTTTGTTATTTAATATTGTAATAATAGTTTGACAAATATTAAATCATAATCGTTTAATTTGATTTCATTGGTCTTTGGTTAAAAAAATTTTGATTTCATTGTTCGATGGCGGAAAATTTGATCTCATTGTCAAGATGAGAACTAAATACGCAGTAGGGGCCCGGGGGGAAAACACAGATCCTCTCCATAGTCTTCACTGTTCAGGTCGGTTCCAAAGGGATCAAAGAATATGGAGAAAAGCTGTCATCTCCGTTACTTTGACGCGTTGCAAAGATAGCCCCAATTTTGAACATTGAATTGTCGTCCTAGCTTGAAGATTCATAGCACCAAATCAATTGTCATAAATACTACTTGGGGTCATTAATATAAAATCTCACTTAATTTTTATTTTGATTTTAAATATAAGACTTTAATTCATTTTATCTCTCATATTTATATTTTTTTTTCTAATATAATCCTTTTAATAATGATAGTTCTAACTAATGCATTTGATTAGTAAGGATATTTTAGAAAAGACAACACTTATTATTACAAATAACTAACTTAGTTTTTTTCTTAATCTTTTTAAATTAGTCAACTAGTTTTTATAAATAGGACTGGAAATAGTACCTCAGAGGATTTTTTGATTTCAATATCACCCTAAAAATTTCTAAGTATAACAATATTGTTTCATCTCATTAAAACATGAATATTGACCCTTAAAAAATTAACATTAACTATTACCATTCCTAACGATAAGTGGTAATACTGCTTTACTTTAACACTTTTGAAGTAACTTACCCACAAAAACTTCTGGGCTAACATTATTTTTAAGTGAAAACTTTTAAACTAGATTTACATGTTAACCCATAAATTAAAAAAATAAACTAACAAAGGCTCCAAATTCCAAAGGTTGTGATACATAGCTAGTCCCTTCTTAAACTGCTTGTTATACTACTTTGCTCTAAGATCACTAATAACTTATTTTTACATGCCAAGCGCATTAAATTGATTAAATCTTTTAAGCTTTTTAAAAAACTTTCTCAATGGGAATTAATAAATTCATTCTCATATTTCTCTCTTATCTTTTTCTCTTTTCAATAAAAATTAAATAAGAATAAATTTTAAAAATTATTAAATGCCATACTGATTATATTTATGATAAAAAAAAAAATTTCTTACAAAGAACTTATAACAAGAACCACTTCGGTGATATATGTGCTA